TCCAGGTCCATCAACTTTTAAATTATATTTTTGAGTCCCTAAACTTTTTAACTGGTTCATCGTAGGTCCATACCTCTTCGTTTAGCGAATAGATCTGACATGGCACGCCAAAAAAACAGTCACCGTGGCCGATCAACCAAACATAAAATCCAATCTAATCTACCCGGTACAAGGCCGAAGGCCACAGGTGTAGGCACGCAGGTCACCTGACCCAAACAAAACTCGGACTCCACTAGCCCAACTAGGACTGATCGACCCCGAGTCCCTGATTCGGCTAACTGCATGGCACGTCCAAACGCAGCCACTAATTTAATTCACGTACATAGGTGCACGCAGGCACTAAAAGCTAGATGCTACATAAAAGATCGTGTATCACAACTGGATGGGAAACTAATGCATGAAAATAATAAAATACTACAACAAGGATGTTAATCACGTTGAGAAAATTCTATTGATCATCTCCACCTTTTTAGAATTAGTACTGATGTATCTTGTTGGCTTTATTTTCTCCTTCTTTCCACGCAATAATAAGGCACATCTATAAAATATCTTTGATGACAGTCCAACAGTTGTCTATTTCTCCATATCCACAATATATTTATTCTTAAAAATAATAGTCTCAAATTTAAGACCAGAGGATATTAACGAATTACCAGCTGCTACATTTGAATTATTGCTAGATAAGTCTCCATGAACATCTTGAGGAGCTATGGACTCATCACCTACTCCACATTGGTTGCTTATTTGGTGTGTCATATCAGATCTATTCGCTAAATGAAGGGGTATGGACCTACGGTGAACCAGTTAAAAAGTTTAGGGACCAAAAAATACAATTTAAAAGTTGATGGACCTAGATGACACAACATCAAAAGTTAATGGATCCAAAAATACAGTTTGAAAGTTGATGGACCTGGATGACACACCACCAAAGTTAATAGACCAAAAAATATAGTTTAAAAGTTGATGGATCTAGATGATAAATCATCAAAAGTTAATGGACCTACGGTGCATTTAACTTTATCCTATATATGTGAAGAGCTAAAGACACATTAATAATAAATTACAAAAAAAAGAAACTGGTCCATCGAAAAGAAGGCAACGAAAAGAAAAATGCTATTGAAAAAAAAGAATCTCATATCCTACTAGTTTACATTCGTTCCGTTCGCTTGAGCTTATTTAGAACTACTTTTCAATCATGGAACATTATTTTCATCTCACAACATTTCAGCATAAGCATTAGCATAAGCCAAAATTCAACATCAACGATCAGGGTGATTAACGAAAGACATGGAATTCTCAAGAAGTCTAGAGCATTGCAAGATTCCTAAGAAACCTCATGTTCCCAATAAAATTCGAGGCAAATCTCTTTTGTGTATTATAGAAAAGTGGATCCCAACTAATTTTCCACGTTGCAAATGTGTACGGTGTACCTGGTTCTCCCTTTCAGTTTAAGAAGAATCTGTCCTCCCATCGATATCTTTTTTTTTAGTTCTGAATGTTTTCTTCAGCAACGACATGTTTTTATTTTTTAAAAAAAAATGGGTGTAGACAAGAACGTAACATTAAGGGAAAAATAACAACAACAAATCCTTTAAGTCCTAAACAAATTAGGGTAGGATAGAGTTGAAACCTAGCAGAAGCAATTAAGATTCAGGCACGTGAATAGCTGTTTTTTAAGCACTCTTATTTAAGACTAAGTCTATGAATATATTCCATCCTTTGAAATATCGTTTTATTGACTCTATCTAAGTCAACTTCGGTCTTCCTCTGCCTCTCTTCACTTTACTATCCTGGCTTAAGATTTCAATACGCACCGGTGTCTCTGAAGGTCTCCGTTGGACATATCCAAACCATATCAACCGGTGTTGGACAAACTTGTCTTCAATTGGTGCTACCCCTAATCTATCACGTATATCATCGTTCCGAACTCGATCTCTTCTTGTATGACCGTAAATCCAACGCAACATATGTATTTTTGCAACACTTATCTATTGAATATGTCGTCTTTTCGTAGGCCAACATTCTGCACCATACAATATAGCAGGTCTAATCGTCGTCCTATAAAACTTGCCTTTTAGCTTCTGTGGTACCCTTTTGTCACATAGGACACCAGATGCTTGGCTCCACTTCATCCACCCTGCTTTGATTCTATGGCTAACATCTTCATCAACATCCCCGTCTCTCTGTAGCATTGATCCTAAAATATCGAAAGGTATCCTTTCTAGGCACTACTTGACCTTCCAAATTAATATCTTCCTCCTCCCGAATAGTGCCGAAGTCACATCTCATGTACTCAGTTTTAGTTCTACTGAGTCTAAAACATTTGGACTCCAAAGTCTCCTGCCATAACTCCAGTTTCTGATTCACTCCTGTCCGGCTTTCATCAACTAGCACTACATCATCCGCGAAAAGCATACACCAAGGGATGCCCCCTTGTATGTCCCTTGTGACCTCATCCATCGCTAAGGCATACAGATAAGGGCTCAAAGCTCACCTTTGATGTAGTCCTATCCTAATCGGGAAGTCATTCATATCTCCATCACTTGTTCAAACACTAGTCACAACATTGTTGTACATGTCCTTAATGAACCCGACGTACTTCGTTGGGACTTTATGTTTGTCCAAAGACCACCACATAACATTCCTTAGTATTTTATCATAAGCCTTCTTCAAGTCAATAAAAACCATGTGTAGGTCATTCTTCTCCCTATACCGTTCTATAACCTGTCTTATTAAGAAAATGGCTTCAATGGTTGACCTTCCGAACATGAAACCAAATTAGTTCATAGAGACCCGTATTATTGCTCTCAAGCGATGCTCGATAACTCTCTCCCATAGCTTAATAGTATGGCTCATCAACTTAATTCCCTGGTAATTAGTACAACTTTGAATATCACATTTATTCTTGTAGATCGGTACCAATATACTTACTCATCCACTCATCAGGCATCTTGTTCGATCGAGAAAAAATGGTTGAATAGCTGTCCCCGAGACATCTCCACATCTCGATTGGGATACTATCCGATCCCATCGCCTTATCTCCTTTCATCCTTTTCAACGCCTCTAATAAAAAAAAAGGTTCTTGAGGCCCTCTTCACCAGTTAATCAACGAAGTAGCAATGACGCTGTAAAAAATAAAACTAGCAGTATGTACAGCCTTAACCGTTATGGTCCCTGCAGAAGAAGCAGAAGTCGATGGCAAGCAAAATAATAATTAAATAAATAAGCAGCACAACAGGTCGTCGCGCCTGGCTCCTGCGCGAATCCCGCACCGCAACGTCGCCAGCTGATCGGCGGTAACCGACGCCACCAGCTCTCCGATCATCACTCGCCATCGTCTGAAACTGAAACACGCCTACTAGACGGACGGCAGTGGAAGAAAGTTGGCGCGTCGCGGTCCACCCCTGCGGTCTCGGCAAATTGGATTCCATGGAAAACGACCGCCGCGCTCGGCTCGGCTGAATCGATGGCGTGAAAGGCGACTTGTCTGACCGGTCGGGGAAGCGTCAGTTCCCGATCCGTCGCGATGACGTGCCCGGGCGGGACAAAGTGGCATGGCAGCTCTCATGCCGTTCGCGACCCCGCGGCGGTAGTGGCACGACACGTTCGTTTCTAGCGAGAAGAATTGAACAGCTAGCGATCGAGCGAGCCCCTGGCCGATGGTACCGAGACGCGAGAGACAGGGGCGTCGCTTTCGACGGCCGGGGGTGTGTCTCTGGGCTGTAGCCCTGCGCCGCGGCAGGCCTCGCGCGGGCGTCAACACCGATCCGTGTCGCGCCTCCAGCCGGTGGATTAGGTCCCCGTCTTTATGACAAGCGCGCGCGCGCACGTACGTACGTACCCTCCTGTACCCAGCCGTGCGTTGACGATCGACGCACGTCGATGGCAGCCACAGACAGGGAGCCAGCCAGCCAGGGAACAGGGACGGCCGGTACGATCGAGTGGTGGACACTGCTGCCTGGCTAGCTATCGTATCTCGGCTCGCTTGGTCTCCACTGCACGCCATGCCGGCCGGCCCTCCGCAATAACTCATGTGCCGGCCCGGCCCGGCCATGCACTCATGTGTACAGCAACATGTGTGTGTGCCCAGCCGGAACTGATCGCATCACGCATTGATCTATCATGACCGGGCGGGCGGGTTGCTATTATCCTGCTTCCGGAGAGAGCGCGCGCACATGATTGCGCGCGTAGTGTCAGTGGAGGGCGAGCGAGCGGCAGGTCCAAGTCCAGTGGCTTGGCGCGCGGCCGGGCATGATCATCGGTGCGTATGCGTTGGTGTGGGGGGGCGCTCCCTCTGTCACAAGGAGATTTTGGGTGGTGGTGGTCGCATCCCCGCGCGCTCGAGTGCACCCCGTACCAACCCAACACGTCCGCTGTCAATGGAGAGGCCGGAGGGTGCTTGATATCATTGTTTTCTCTCGTTATATTAAAAAATTTTCTCTCTTCTTTGATTGTTATTATTATACGTACGTATATAACAGATTACCAGCTAATATATATATGTATATGCTCGTTGATCGAGTGAGAAGAGTAAACAGCACATCGTTTATATCAAAATGGAATGATGGGGCTCGTGTAAAATGAGAGAAAAAAAAGGAATCCTCTACATGCATGTGTCTCAGTCTCACCTTAATCTGATCAGCTAACCAACCAGTTGTGTCCGCCAACTATATATCACATAGAAAAAGAAGCCTTTATCTATTTTTATTTATACTGCTACAAAACATATATACAAAAAGAAGGCCAAATATTCTTCGACACAACTCTCTCCACTATACGCGCATACTTTTATAGCTCAACCCTTTGGCTTTTGTCAGCCACTCAGCTCTCATCGCCTGCTATATATACACAGCTCTCCTGCTCTCTCTTTCCTTCTCCCTTCTTCCGTTCCAATTTCACGAGTTGGTGTTAGATTCACTCCACCCCGGCCCTCTCTCCGTTTCTAATAACTAGCTATCGCTAGCCAGCTATCAGCAGCTGCTGTGTATGCACCAGGCAGCATGGCGGAGTGCAAGGACAGCGGCCGGTCTCCGTCGTCGTCCATGGACAGCAGCACCCACCCGGTGCTCTCCACCACGTCATCGGGCTGCCGGCCGGCGGCGAGGAGGGACGACCTCAGCACCGACCTTCAGCTAGGGCTCAGCCTGTCGCCGGCGTCCTCCCTCCTGGTAGCGGAGAGCAAGAGCATCCCTTCTACGCCAAGGTTTTCGATCGATTCTATCTTCACCCACAACTCTCTTTTCTCCCTTCTAGCTCGTACGTGTTAGATTAGATGAGATCAGCAAGTCGTAGATGCATATGCAAGCAACAAGCTAATAAGGCTTCCCCTTTAGCTAATGGAACAAATTAACTAGGAAGATGCATGGCTGATTCCGAACGAGATTATCTGTCTTTTCGTCTTTTAAAAAAAAAAATCAATTGATTACACACCTTAGATGAATCTGCACCTCACCATTTATCTGTTGGAGATCAATTCTAGTGCGCATGTGCATGGTGAATTAGAGGTTAGAGAGCAAAAATCTGCTCCTTTCTGTTCTTCTTTGGATCTCTTCACACCCACATGGCAGATCATATACGTGAGCCACCATGATCTCATCAGTTCAGTCTATTTCTTTATTTTTTGCTTATCGGATAGTACTCCTATCTCTCTTGTATGAATTGAGAAGAATGTTTTTTTTTTTCTGTCCATCACGCGGCATAAAAAACATCTAAGATCTTAGATTTGTCCACTTTCTTGTTTCCACATGCCTATAACAGATCTTGATTATATTTATTATATGATAGTATTTGGGATATATTTTCAGAATTACTTTTAGTAGCGGTTCCTAATTAAAGAGAAACTGTGGTCTGAATTTCACATGTGAAACTAACTGCCTTGAGTTTTATTTTTTTAGTAGTGGTTTTTTTTTATCTTGCAACATTTTTTCCCTCAATTTTCTCGAGGGCATAAGCTTCTTTCAATTCTCAATCAACTTGATATACTACTTGGTCATACTACCCCAAAAAATAATACTTGATCATACTACAACAAATTACAAAGGAGATCCATAAAAGAATCATATTTTTCATTGAGCCAGACATTTTAGTATTTTTAAGACTATAATCTTAGCCTTAATTGATCATTGATATCTTCACAACAACTTTCATATTTGTAGTATTGTCGTTATCATCTCTAAAATATACAGCATCCCCGATTAATATCCCAACAGTACTCTCCATCCAATTGGTTCCCTTGTGCACGTCATCTACATTTATTAACAACACTTTCAACACGAACGGATGATGGGCAGGAACCAAGTACTCCCGGATTGGCCCCCAATCAAACCCTTCCTTAGAAGCGCCTTGACAGCTTCGGCACGCCGACGGCGAACATTGTTCGTGAAGGTGTACATGGAAGGCGTTCCAATCGGTCGGAAGGTGGACTTGCTCTTGCTGGATGGGTACGACAACCTCCTTGCAAAACTTCGCCACATGTTCAAGGCCTCCATCACTTGTAAGTATGCATCGAGCTAGCTAAGTTCATTACCACAGATTTTTAAGGATAGTAATCCAAAAAAGGAAAAAAAAGGAGAACGCCAAACGAACTAAGCGATTTGATGGATGCAGAAATGGATATACCCACATAATTGAACTACAGAATGGATTGTAATTATTCCATGCCAACACTAGAAACTTTTCTTGGGATTCTAGCCACTAGCACTAGACCACAAATTTGAATTATTTAATTTTTGGAGGAATTCCTGCCTCACACTTTAAATTAGACAGATAAACTTCAAGACATGATGTCACATCTTGCTATGTCATTATATTGTATTGCAATGCTTGCCGGTTGCTCTATAATCAATATGTGATATGATTAGATTCTGATGTTATGGAGTACCATCAACGACTTCCTCACGAGAAGGCTGCACATGTTCTCACCTATGAAGACCAGGATGGAGACTGGATGATGGTTGGGGATGTGCCGTGGGAGTATGTTTCTTCTCCGCTTAAATGATTCACTTGCATTTCATTTACTGTTAGTTAATCTTGTCTCTGTCCATTGTTCTGGCAGGCTCTTCCTGGGAAGTGTAAAGAAACTGAGGATTGCAAGAACAGATAAATGCTAGTTAGCAAGCTTATTCATGCGGTGGAGACTATATTTCTTCTTTTTATATAGGTTCATTAAGAAAGATTTTGCTGAACAGAGTGGACATGTGATGCTGAGGCTATACTAACCGTGTACAGTATACTGAAGAAAAGTCAACCTTGCTACCTTCCCTAGAAAATAAAATTTTGGTATTTTATATTTCCTTTTCTGTTTCTTTGACTGCCTTGTAAATACCATGGTTATTTATTAAAGAACAGGCAATTTGCACGAAGAATATTATAATACCAAAGATATATATCTTCGTGCAAGTAAGGAGTATATGCAGACCTTTTCTTGTTCATTTAGTACTATGGTTACAAATAACGCTAACATGGTGTTATAAGGATCACAGAAAACTAATCAGTAGTAATCTCTTAGTGCAGTGCACCAAGTGAAAGAGAGATATTTTCCCTTTTCTTGAAACCACATAATTCTCATTTTGTATTTATCCTTTAATAAAATGAGATGAGCAAAATTGTACTGCCATTTTGAGCTTTTCATTACTCAAACTTTTAAAATTTATTTATTACTAGAACATGAGATGCCAGATATAAATATAATTGCACGTGTTGAGAAGTGAAAAGTAGTGGAAGAACATACGTATATTCATGTCTCTTCCTAGAGCCTGGTTGGGGGTTAGCCACCCAACCAAATAGGCCCATAGTCTCTGTGCTCTTGTATATTCATGTCTCCAAGTCCATTGACAAAGGCATAGCCCTGCTCCCTGTTTGGTATTAAATCCAGAACTATGTAATTTCACTTTAGTAAAAACTAGAAACATGGAGACACAAAAGCTTAAATAAACATCAACACACTATGTCACACTTCATATTCCTTTATTTCTACCACACATGCAACTCTGAGTAGCCACAAAGAAAAGAAGAGGAAGCTGAAACAGGTATTGCTAAGGCCTTGTTTAGATACACTCGTTTCTACCTCAATCCACGTGTGTTGGAGTGGATTGTGGTGGACTTTAAACTTGGATTAAGGTGGATACGAGTGCATCGAAACAAGGTCTAATGTGGAAGAAAACTACAACTTGGAACTTTAACCCGACCCTGAGGCCCTCATCTGACAGCCAAAAGAATGTGGTCCAAACACGATCACACCACAATGGAAGTTCTTGCAAGAGATGCTGTGCTGCTCTATTTCCTCCTTTGCTGTGTAGTTCAGCATATAGCAGTGGTTACTACAAGGAATACATGTATTGACCACATGCTAGTAGTATAATTGTTCTGCATTTTATCTTCTGCTCTCACTAACAAGGAATTAAATTTCTCCACATATGGTTTGAATGGGTCGAAGGGCGGGCCTGGTACAAGCGGTAGAGTCTTACCGCCTGTGACCGGAAGGTCCTGGGTTTGAGTCGCAGTCTCCTCGCATTGCACAGGCGAGGGTAAGGCTTGCCACTAACACCCTTCTCCAGACCCCGGACAGAGCGGGAGCTCTTTGCACTGGGTACGCCCTTTATGGTTTGAATGGGTCATACCTTTCAGATTTCACTGCTGGGATGCTCATGAACCTTGAGTATGCAGAAACTCCTATAGGCTTTATTGCCTTAACTGTATGTATATAAAACGGGCAGCAAGCTTTTCTGTTTGACAAATGCAGCTGTCATCCTTGAGACAATAGAAACATCAAGTATTCATAAGGTACAGATTTGGTTCTCAATTGCTGATTAAGCTGCGTCCCTTTTCCTTCCTTAACTCCTGAAACATTATCCATCTCCGCACCTCCTTTGCCGCCTCCAATCTTCCACGTGATGCATAGATATTAGCAAGCAGGACATAGTTCCCGGTATTACCTGGATCAATCACAAACAGCTTCTTGGCAACCTCCTTACCCATCTCAAGGTCCCCGCAGTTCATGCAAGCCGAAAGGAGTGCCCCAAGGACTGATGCATCTGGCTTAGGTCTCATCTGGTGAATGAATCGCTTTGCCTCAGTTAGAAGGCCTGCTCGCCCAAACATGTCAACCATGCACGCATAATGCTCATTCCATGGTGTGATCTTATGAACTTCAGTCATTGAATCGAAGTACTTGTGTCCTTGCTCAACAAATCCGCTGTGGCTACAGGAAGAGAGAACACTAACAAATGTGATGTGGTCCGGAGGAATGCCATTCTCTAGCATATTCTCGAATACATCAATTGCCTGCATTCCATATCCATGCTGCTGCAGTGCAGTTATCATGGCCGTCCAGGGCATTACATGCAAATGATCTTTTGCCCCCACAAACGCTCGGTGTGCATCGTCCAAGCAGCCACATCTGGAATACATGGAGATTAACGAGCTAGCAACGCCATCACTGTCCAAGAACCCTGTCTTTACGACAGAGGCATGCATGCTTGCTCCTATAGCCCATGCCGACATATATGCTGATGCCTGCAGTACAGTAGCAAAGGCCACATCATCGGGCAAGGTACCGCTCCTGACCATGGACCGGAACAGCACACAAGCTTCCTTGAAGCGGTTGTCATGAATGCAACCACGAATGATGATGTTCCAGGTGACAACATCCCTGTAACCCACAGCATATAGCAGAGCTAAAGATTCTCGTGAGCATCCACACCTGGTGTACATGTCAAGAAGAGCGTTGCTGACACAAACCGCGCTCAGCTCCAGCCCCACCTTGGCAGCGCACGCATGTACCTGGCGACCAAAGTCCAGGGCCCCTGCCACAGTGCAAGCGCTGAGCACACTCGACACCCTCACCTGATCGAGGGACACCTCCCGCCCCTGCGCGGCCAACTCCCTGAACACCGACAGTGCTTCGAGGCACATCTTGTTCCTGGTGTAACCAACGAGGAGCGCGTTCCACGACGTGGCGCCCCGGATCGGCATTTCATCGAACACCTTCCTGGACGACTCCATGTCCCCGCCCTTGGCGTACGCGTCGACCATCCCGGTGTAGACGAACACGTCGCCGGGCGGTACGACCTTGGCCGCGCACGCGTGGACCTGGCGTCCGCAGAGAGGCTGGAGGCCGGCGCATGCGGCGAGCACGGCAGAGATGACATGGGGGTTGGGGCGGAGCTGGCGGCGCGAGCCCGAGAAGAGGGAGAACGCGAGGGCCGGATGCGGCCGCGCGAGGGCGGAGACGAGGACGGCGTAGGTGTGGAGGTTGGCGCTGGGTAGGTGGGCGCGGAAGGCGCGGAGCGCGTCGGCGAGGCGGCCCGCGGCGGCGTAGAGGGAGACGAGCTGCGTGAGGAGGACCGGGTGCGGGTGGGGGCGCGCGCCAGCAGAGACGAGGAGGCGGGCGTGGAGCTGCGCGGCGTGAGCGGGGTGTTGGAATCGCGCGCGGCGCAGCGCGGAGAGGAGGGCCGTCAGGTCGCGGACGCTGCCGCCTCCCGTGCTCATGCGGGCTCGGCGACGGAGCGGTGTCAGCCTGTCAGGTGTGCAGCACGCTGCGCTGCTGTTGGTTTCCCGTCTAATTTTCTTCCGTTCACCGTGGTGGGCTGCGGCTGGGCTCGTCGTTTTTTCTTGGAGTGGATGCGGCTCGTCGAGGTGGGGGCAGTGGGCCTTTTGTGAGAGAAATGCTATGTTGGGTGGAATTCCTTGTTGGGTTTGGGTCGAAATTGTACCTGCGGCATGGGCCATGGGCATGACGGGCCAGTGGCGTGTTTTTTTCTCAAAGAAAAAGAAAGGCAGCCAGTGGCGTTGATTGGTCAACACTTTTGGTCTCCCATGCCTCTTCTTTAGCAGGCCACCTAACCTGAGATATGGTAACGATGATAAACAAATGAAAAATGGTGTCACAGGCCCCTTGATGATTTTTAGGTGGGGAGTCGTTATCTTTGGATGGCCTAGATTGAAAGTTCTTTCCTTTATTTTGCGATGGTTATATAGTTGAAAATTTAGTGCATGTGCACCCATGGCGGAGCTTAATGCCCTCTATCGAGAAGAGATTGAACTTTTCTCTACCCTGTCGATTAGGCCTTCTTAACTTTTGTTGAAGCCGCGCTCTACCAAAGGAGAAGTAGCGAGCCACAAACTGTCAGATGAAAATAAAACGATAATGCTGGCACACAAGCGTTCATCCAGACATGTTCCGTCCGAACAGCTCGTTTTCATGCCTGCCCATGATTGGGCCCAACATGTCTCCTTCGCTCCACCTTCAGTATGACGCGGTTTCTTAAAAAAATAGCGACATTTCCTTTCCCCACCGCTGCACGCATGCGACTGCCGTGGGCGCATCCACCGCACCGCCCGCTCGCCGCTGGCCTTCTCCAACATGGTAGCTTTCTCCAGCCGCGGCCTTCCCGTCTGGATGCCGCGCGCCCACTCCGTCTCGCTGCTGCCACGCGCCCATCCCACGCCGCTCGTCCCGCCCGTCACTCGCGCCGCCTGCCTGACCAAGCCAAGCCCGGTGCTACTAGCGATGGTGGTGGTGATGGTGCTCGTGCGGTGACTACTCCGACCCCGATGGCTGGAATCGCCCGGGCCCGGGCCCTCATGTTGTAAGCGCATGTTTCATGTGTTTCAGATGTTTCATAGGTATATTTCAAGTGTTTCATGTGGATGTTACAAAAGTAGATCGGGATGTTTCATATGTTGCAATGATTGTACACATATGTTGCAAGTGTCTATTCTTAATGTTTCATCTGTTTTTTTTCAGACGTATGTTGCAAGTGTATTTATCTGGATGTTGCATATGTTTCACATATATTGTCGGGGTTATGATACCCCAGGTGTCTCAAGACACCGATTAGTTAGCCGCTCAAGTAGGCCCACGATACACAAGCTGGTATAAGCCCGAGCGACCGCGACCCAACTAAGCTATGTAGACATGGGCCAGACACTGTGATGAGGAGTCAGACATGATCTCTCTCCCGTTCTGACCCTTGGGAGGGACAGGAGGGGTCGAACCCCACCACGTACACCTGCTCTGACAAGGACAGACACGCTTGCTCACTCTGCCAGGACTAAGAGGATAGCTGTCTCGGAGCAGGCGCCATCCCTGCGCCACGTCGCAGACAAGACAGGACCGCCAGGAGGTGACGACAGGTATGATAACCACCGTCCAAATATGGCCCTACGGGACGGGCGTATGGCCCCACCCACTACGGGATGGAGCTCACAACAGCAGCCTTGACTTTCAAGGCTGTCCAAGCCAATGGAGGCCACGACCCCAGAGCGTGGGATCGTGTCCATCGGCTCCACGACCAGCAAGACTACCAACTCACGTATGACAAGCCCGGGAGATTAGGAGGCCAAGACGGAGACCACGTCGCATAGGACGGCTGGCGAACCACCACCGTGCCAACAGTGTCGTTACGACTGGCACAGTAGCACCACTGTTGGTATATTTAAACGCACACAGATAAATCTGCAAGCGCACAAATACCGATGTAGCACTTCACCGGAAAGAATTCTAGAATATCGAACTCAAGGAAACGTGTGTGAAATTAAGTAAGTCTAGCTTAACCAGGAGTAGCAACAAGGCTTAAGATAAACAGAGCATAGAGGGATTTACTAAGCTTTTCTAGTTCTAACTTGGATAAGTTATGTCTTCTACTATTCAACTAGGGATATTACTAAGGAGAAACACAAGCAGAGCATGTTTTACTATAGTAACCAGGTCTTGCTCGGCCTACAGATGGGAGATGGTCTACAAAGGACTCAACAAGGCTTTATAGTCACCCTTGCGATCTACCACTGATCCGGAATGTAGGTTACATCCACGAGCAACCGAGTCTAAGCACCACACTTACACTACGAAAACTACTTCAACCCAAGAGCAACAAGGATTAAAGTACTAAAAAAGAGTCACAAACCTGATGAACAATATAAACACGATACTTACTTGAATCAGAAATTTATTACTAGAGAAATCTTAGAAGCAAGTTCAAGTAGAACTTGATTTCGTTAGGTACAAGCCGTTGAGAGAGCACCGACAGGCCGACACTTCCTCCAAACTCTTCTGGCACTCTCTATCTCACTATTTTCTATTTACTAAGACTAGATCCTAACTTGGAGGACTAATCTTCTCTTGATTGTTGACTCTGATCCTGATGATGAGGATATGAATTAGGGTTTCAGGCTTTCAGGATGGCTCTGCTGGAGGAGGTATAGGGGGCTACTTATAGGGGGAACCAGAGGTCCTCTAGGCCCATGAATCCATGGCAACGTCAAATCTGGACCGTCGAATCGAACTAACCTTGAGCAACGGTGTAGATTTGATCTTTAAGGCGGCGGAGAACCGACATAGCGAGGAGGGGGCACTAGGTGGGCCCCATAGGCCGGTTGTCCTGTAGGTTGGGCCGGCTGGCCCCACACCATAACACCTTGGTGTGGGTCTCGGTGACTTGTCTTCTGGATTGTTGTAGAGTCTTCCCAAGTCGGTTTTGTCGTGGAATAACGTAATTTGCTTTGACGAATAGGTCATCCTTGATGGTTTTCTGACTAAATCCTCCTGTAGTCACAAATTCACCAAAACTTGTGGAACTCATTAGTTTTATACACTATACCTATATTGGTGATCCATTTTAATCATTTATGCAGGGTATATTAACGGTTTATGATTGTCATTAACTACCATCAACAAGCTCCCCTACACTTAGGCTTTTACTCATCATCGATAAAAGGATGGATTACTTAATACATTACTTGGGACAAGACATCAACATAAAATCATTGCCAGTCATACATGCTCTGCAGGATTTAAAGTGTCTACTATGAAACTTTAGGCGGTTGAAAAAATGGAACAACTTGAAATAGATCACCATCTTCCTTTAGTCAAGTCAATTGGAGAAACATTTTAGGATTTTGAAAACAAAACATAGCTTACCTTCTTCTTTTGTGGTACTCTCAAATCATGCAATATATGTAGTATTTTTGAATCCTTACCAAGGCATAGAAAACTTTGCCTTCTTTTTACCTACTTCTAAAGGTTTACATAGAGCTCAGGTAGGGATAAATATGAGAACATACTTGCACTGCATATATTGTAAACTTAAAACAAAGATCCAAGAAAAAATGTCATACTCTTAGATCAAGATGTGTATGTGTGTGGATATATATGGTGGCTAACTATTGGTAGTTCTTAACGCAAACAGAAAGATTCCACAAGCGCATGAAATTACCATTGTAGCATTCACCCGGAAGTATTCAGGGTATCATATTTTCCATAGGGAACTGAGGTACTTCTTCTAGCTAATTCATCCAAGGACAACACAAGGGTAAAGTTGGAAAGGGTAGAGATGTATTCTTATGGCTTTTGGGTCTAAGGACAGGTAAACTCTACTTTCACTTGCTTACTTCAGGCACCGGAGCGCACCTAGTCTGCCAGGTGATACTGGCCTGTAGCTCTACGCCGTACGTAGATGTGGGGGATTACGAGGGACGGACAGGGCTGTCACCACCTACCATCTACCCCTCAACTGTAGGGCATGAGACAAATGAAGGTAGCCTCTAGCCTAGACACCACGTCTACGTTGTCGACTACTACTCTAGCATCACGTAGGGTTATCTGTCTTTATCAGGGCCCTTTACTAGAGTATCCACTACAAGAACGGACGACGACCCGCAAACAAGTAAGAGTAAGATTAACTAATCAAAAGACTTGTAACCATAAGAGCCACGGACACTCATTTAGTGGATACTTTGTTGAGGCACAAGTGTTCGTCGAGGTACAAGCTTGGGGAGACATCGATAAGTCAGGCACTCTTTTCTCACATCTCTCCCAAATACTCTTCTCTCACATCTCTCCCAAATACTCAACTCTACTAGCTATGGCCAAATCCCTGGAGTGATGCACAAGTGTGGTGCTCTTTCCCTTGGTGTGTTGTTCTTTTGGGGAGGGCTCTACCCATGCTTTTATACATGCTTGAAGTCGGTTTGGTGGGAGATAAAATAGGAAACCACCCAAACCATCCTTGGGAGCATTGATGGAACCACCCTACCAAAGGTGGGCTCGAGAGGTGGCAAGAGGGGTGCGGCCGCACCAGCTCTGCCTCGTCTGGCCACCATCTTTGGCAGGTGGGCTGGTGACTGGACCTGGGGCACTCCTTTGTCGGTTTTGTGCTTGAATTGATATGGTATGTGGGCTTTTCCTCCTTTGCTTGCTTGGGCCAAGATGAAGATTGAATGTTTCTTTTATATTTCCCTTTACTTTTGGCCCAACTTGGTATGTTTTCATGTTTGTCCCTGCAAAGCAAAGAATTCTCCAAAACCTATGGAATTTTGTTAGTTCAAAGTCCTATTTCTAGGTTTAGTGTTGTTTTTGATGAGTTCCATAGAAATGTTGGCGGTATAGATTGTGAGTTAAGAACCACCAACTAACTCCCCCCACACTTAGCCCTTTGCTCGTCCTCAAGTAAAGTTAAGGGCTAAGATGGGTCATCTCCTTGATATGATAT